TCTAGTTCAGTTCTAGTTCAGTTCTAGTTCAGTTCTAGTTCAGTTCTAGTTCAGTTCTAGTTCAGTTCTAGTTCAGTTCTAGTTCAGTTCTAGTTCAGTTCTAGTTTCAGTTCTAGTTCAGTTCTAGTTCAGTTCTAGTTCAGTTCTAGTTCAGTTCTAGTTCAGTTCTAGTTCAGTTCTAGTTCAGTTCTAGTTCAGTTCTAGTTCAGTTCTAGTTCAGTTCTAGTTCAGTTCTAGTTCAGTTCTAGTTCAGTTCTAGTTCAGTTCTAGTTCAGTTCTAGTTCAGTTCTAGTTCAGTTCTAGTTCAGTTCTAGTTCAGTTCTAGTTCAGTTCTAGTTCAGTTCTAGTTCAGTTCTAGTTCAGTTCTAGTTCAGTTCTAGTTCAGTTCTAGTTCAGTTCTAGTTCAGTTCTAGTTCAGTTCTAGTTCAGTTCTAGTTCAGTTCTAGTTCAGTTCTAGTTCAGTTCTAGTTCAGTTCTAGTTCAGTTCTAGTTCAGTTCTAGTTCAGTTCTAGTTCAGTTCTAGTTCAGTTCTAGTTCAGTTCTAGTTCAGTTCTAGTTCAGTTCTAGTTCAGTTCTAGTTCAGTTCTAGTTCAGTTCTAGTTCAGTTCTAGTTCAGTTCTAGTTCAGTTCTAGTTCAGTTCTAGTTCAGTTCTAGTTCAGTTCTAGTTCAGTTCTAGTTCAGTTCTAGTTCAGTTCTAGTTCAGTTCTAGTTCAGTTCTAGTTCAGTTCTAGTTCAGTTCTAGTTCAGTTCTAGTTCAGTTCTAGTTAGTTCAGTTTCTAGTTCAGTTCTAGTTCAGTTCTAGTTCAGTTCTAGTTCAGTTCTAGTTCAGTTCTAGTTCAGTTCTAGTTCAGTTATTCAGTTCTAGTTCAGTTCTAGTTCAGTTCTAGTTCAGTTCTAGTTCAGTTGTTCTAGTTCAGTTCTAGTTCAGTTCTAGTTCAGTTCTAGTTCAGTTCTAGTTCAGTTCTAGTTCAGTTCTAGTCCAGTTCTAGTTCAGTTCTAGAAATGAAACTTTACAAACATATTTCTCTGTTTTTAAGTAAAATAAAATATTTATAATTTTCTCCTACACCACATTTAATATACTTCACAATGAAGAAAACATGTATTTCTCATTTTAATAAAATCCCTTTTAAGTCAACTCCCCCGCAATTGCAGCACAAAACATCAAAATTTTGCCGCCCAATAACTTTAAAAAATTCCATTAAACACCCGAAAATATTCATAAATTTATCTATTTCTTTTCGGCAAAGCCTTCTTATTTAATAATGTTTAATGAATAGCAACAACAGCAATAACAATTGAAAATATGTTTCAATAAAATTTTAATATAAATAAATCTACAACTGAAATAAATATGTTTTTTATACAGAAATCATATTTCGACAAGTAATTCAAGGCCAAAGTCAGTTAAAAAAGTATATATTTTTAAGCCACAATAAGTATTTGGATAAAAAATATGGGAAAAAAGAGATAAAGTTACAGTAAAAGTATAAAAAGTACTAAAAATAAAAAATACAACAAAAAAAACAAGATAATTCAATATTTTAAAAACAAGGGTTTGCTTTTTACCAAACAACTATACATAAAGTGCTAGATCTGATGTGACAATGATGTTGAAAAATATATAAAAATAAAAAACAAACTTAATATAATTTGGCTTTTTTTGGAGATGAGTTTAAATGGAATAAAATGAAGAAAAGCAGAATTTTTAAGTGACCACGTAATCCTTAAAATATTTACTACGTACGACTTACAACACCCAGTTATAAACATCAGCCCATATTTAGACATTTATTTTGAAATCCTTTTAAAAAATACACAAAAATAAATAACACAACAACAGCAACAATAACAATAAATGACAACAGTTGAAAAAATCCAACAAAATCAAATAAAATTTAAGTATGAAACAGTAAGAAGCAGTAACCCTGGGAAGGGGTATATGTTAACATTTAAAATCTTAAAGATTTTTAGCAAAAGAAAAAATAAATGAAACGACGGAAAGAATGAAATAAAGAAAGAACCATGTCAAGCCACATTATTAACACTTTTGTTTTGTACATAAACATTTAGTATTGAAGATCCAAGAATACATGCACACACAGAGCCCCATTTAGATATACACGTACCCTTTGAAAAAAGGCATGCCATTATACAAAATGAAATTGAAATAAAAAATCGAATGGCTGTAGAGTGGAAGTGAACTCAGTATACATACTTGCATCCATTTGTATGGGTGTTAAATATTTCCAGAGAATAAGGGTCATACACTATAACAACTACCATTATCTACATATGTTTGTTAAGAACATAATGGTTAAAAAGGATATACTCATATATTTTCCGTTATATCCTTTTTTATGTTTAACTAAGTATTTGTCTCTCCTCTATTTTCTCTGTTCCTTATGTTTAGTTGATTTTTTATACAAAACAGTGCAAATATTTAAAACTTTGTCGGCTAGTTCGATGTTTATAAATAAAGTAGTGTGAAAAAATTGGAGAAGTACTCCCAAAAAAGTAATAACAGATTTATGTAAATTTTAGTACAGAACTAGAACAGAACTAGAACAGAACTAGAACAGAACTAGAACAGAACTAGAACAGAACTAGAACAGAACTAGAACAGAACTAGAACAGAACTAGAACAGAAACTAGAACAGAACTAGAACAGAACTAGAACAGAACTAGAACAGAACTAGAACAGAACTAGAACATGAATGTAAATTTTAGTACAGAACTAGAACAGAACTAGAACAGAACTAGAACAGAACTAGAAAGAACTAGAACAGAACTAGAACAGAACTAGAACAGAACTGGAACAGAACTAGAACAGAACTAGAACAGAACTAGAACAGAACTAGAACAGAACTAGAACAGAACTAGAACAGAACTAGAACAGAACAAGACAGAACAGAACTAGAAACGAACTAGAACAGAACTAGAACAGAACTAGAACAGAACTAGAACAGAACTAGAACAGAACTAGAACAGAACTAGAACAGAACTAGAACGAAACTTGAACAAGTACTAGAAACTGAACAGAACTAGAACAGAACTTAGAACAGAACTTAGAACAGAACTAGAACAGAACTAGAACAGAAACTAGAACAGAACTAGAACAGAACTAGAACAGAACTAGAACAGAACTAGACCAGAACTAGAACAGAACTAGAACAGAACTAGAACTGAACTAGAACAGAACTAGAACAGAACTAGAACAGAACTAGAACAGAACTAGAAAAACTAGAACAGAACTAGAACAGAACTAGAACAGAACTAGAACAGAACTAGAACAGAACTAGAACAGAACTAGAACAGAACTAGAACAGAACTAGAACAGAACTAGAACAGAACGAGAACAGAACTAGAACAGAACTAGAAACAGAACTAGAACAGAACTAGAACAGAACTAGAACAGAACTAGAACAGAACTAGAACAGAACTAGAACAGAACTAGAACAGAACTAGAACAGAACTAGAACAGAACTAGAACAGAACTAGAACAGAACTAGAACAGAACTAGAACAGAACTAGAACAGAACTAGAACAGAACTAGAACAGAACTAGAACAGAACTAGAACAGAACTAGAACAGAACTAGAACAGAAACTAGAACAGAACTAGAACAGAACTAGAACAGAACTAGAACAGAACTAGAACAGAACTAGAACAGAACTAGAACAGAACTAGAACAGAACTAGAACAGAACTAGAACAGAACTAGAACAGAACTAGAACAGAACTAGAACAGAACTAGAACAGAACTAGACAGAACTAGAACAGAACTAGAACAGAACTAGAACAGAACTAGAACAGAACTAGAACAGAACTAGAAACAGAACTAGAACAGAACTAGAACAGAACTAGAACAGAACTAGAACAGAACTCGAACAGAACTAGAACAGTACAAGAAGTTTGAGGAAATTATATTTGTTGTTAATTTTGCCCTTCTAGCACTTGATTGGGGTTCCTTCCCTTCTTAATATTTAACATTTTAATGTTTGCTGGTTGTTTTTGCAAAAAAAAAAAAAAAAAACAAATGCATTTACACATTTCTATACATAGACGGCCTTTATCGATAAAAAATATTTTGTAAATAATTTATTTTATTTCTGTAATGACACTCACAAAATAAACATGACATAAACTTATCGAAGTACCATTGCTTACAATAAGGACAACAGGAAAAAATTACTCCAAAAAGATTAAAAATCCAGACAAGACAAAAAAGGAACCCAATATTTAAAAAAAGGTCAAGGTAAAGCAGCTTCTTAAAAAGGGACCAAAAAGGCACAATTTTCATTTACAATAAAAATTGCCATTGTCATCATACAGTCAATAATGAATGAAAAAAAAAAAATAATAAGAAAATAAAAGTAAATTTTAGGGTTATTTGTTTAACAGGTTAATTGGATTTTCTTTATTTTCCTGAAGTACCAAGAAAGGAATTGAACAGGAAAATTAATGATGAGGAAAATTTATGTAAAATAAAAAAAAATACCCAAACAATTGTTTGTTGGGTTTTGAAGTTAAGAAAATTTATTGGCAAACACTTCATAAATAACAAGGGATTAGAGAAGATATTTTCAGTAGAATAAAAAATCGGAGGGAGAAAATAATAAGATAAATTAAGAAACAGGTGTCTGGAGAGGTTTTTTTTTTTAAAGAAAATAACAGCAAGAATTAAAATGTCAAAATGCATATTTTATAAAGTTAAACCCACCGTCGTTAAAATAATTTAAATTGTAACTTAAGGGTGTTTTAAGACTTAGAATTTAACAAATGGACATTTTTACAATGCTACTTACTGTAATAAAACAACTATGGTGTATAAAATGTTAATTACCTTTGGGCAGTTTCATTTTTATCAGGGTAGTTTTTATTTTAAATTTGTTCTGGTTTTATATTTTATCACTTGTGCAAAAAATTCACTTTGAAGAAATTGTTTATACACATTTTAATTGAACATTTACTTATATTTTATTTACATTTCTTTTGCAGATTTCCATGTTAGCAATTTCTCATATGAATGCAAATGTTGTTTAATTCTCATATAAAATTGTAAGTATAAAATACACCTTTATGTTATTACATTTTGTAGTTCAAATTATTCTCATTTATTTTATAATTTTAATAATGAACTGAACTAGAACTGAACTAGAACTGAACTAGAACTGAACTAGAACTGAAACTAGAACTGAACTAGAACTGAACTAGAACTGAACTAGAACTGAACTAGAACTGAACTAGAACTGAACTAGAACTGAACTAGAACTGAACTAGAACTGAACTAGAACTGAACTAGAACTGAACTAGAACTGAACTAGAACTGAACTAGAACTGAACTAGAACTGAACTAGAACTGAACTAGAACTGAACTAGAACTGAACTAGAACTGAACTAGAACTGACTAGAACTGAACTAGAACTGAACTAGAACTGAACTAGAACTGAACTAGAACTGAACTAGAACTGAACTAGAACTGAACTAGAACTGAACTAGAACTGAACTAGAACTGACTAGAACTGAACTAGAACTGAACTAGAACTGAACTAGAACTGAACTAGAACTGAACTAGAACTGAACTAGAACTGAACTAGAACTGAACTAGAACTGAACTAGAACTGAACTAGAACTGAACTAGAACTGAACTAGAACTGAACTAGAACTGAACTAGAACTGAACTAGAACTGAACTAGAACTGAACTAGAACTGAACTAGAACTGAACTAGAACTGAACTAGAACTGAACTAGAACTGAACTAGAACTGAACTAGAACTGAACTAGAACTGAACTAGAACTGAACTAGAACTGAACTAGAACTGAACTAGAACTGAACTAGAACTGAACTAGAACTGAACTAGAACTGAACTAGAACTGAACTAGAAACTGAACTAGACTGAACTAGAACTGAACTAGAACTGAACTAGAACTGAACTAGAATGAACTAGAACTGAACTAGAACTGAACTAGAACTGAACTAGAACTGAACTAGAACTGAACTAGAACTGAACTAGAACTGAACTAGAACTGAACTAGAACTGAACTAGAACTGAACTAGAACTGAACTAGAACTGAACTAGAACTGAACTAGAACTGAACTAGAACTGAACTAGAACTGAACTAGAACTGAACTAGAACTGAACTAGAACTGAACTAGAACTGAACTAGAACTGAACTAGAACTGAACTAGAACTGAACTAGAACTGAACTAGAAAACTGAACTAGAACTGAACTAGAACTGAACTAGAACTGAACTAGAACTGAACTAGAACTGAACTAGAACTGAACTAGAACTGAACTAGAACTGAACTAGAACTGAACTAGAACTGAACTAGAACTGAACTAGAACTGAACTAGAACTGAACTAGAACTGAACTAGAACTGAACTAAAACTGAACTAGAACTGAACTAGAACTGAACTAGAACTGAACTAGAACTGAACTAGAACTGAACTAGAACTGAACTAGAACTGAACTAGAACTGAACTAGAACTGAACTAGAACTGAACTAGAACTGAACTAGAACTGAACTAGAACTGAACTAGAACTGAACTAGAACTGAACTAGAACTGAACTAGAACTGAACTAGAACTGAACTACTGAACTAGAACCTGAACTAGATCTGAATTAGAACTGAACTAGAACTGAACTAGAACTGAACTAGAACTGAACTAGAACTGAACTAGAACTGAACTAGAACTAAACTAAAACAGAGCTTAAACTTTGTTATCGAATATTTAATGTTTGTCCAAATTTTATGGAATTTAATATTTTTGTTTGTCTTTTAAATCTGCAGTTAAAATATAATTAAAATAATAAAAATCACTTAAACATAAAACTCAACATCACAATTGGTTTCTAAATAAATAATATAAACAATTTTGTTAATGACAGTCCAAAAATGATTTTTTACATATTATTTCATTTGAACATTTCCCTTTTTTGCTTTTGTACAGGCAATTTATTAACGCTCTGTTGGTGACATTTTCTGTTCATCAATTTCAATTGTTTTAATTTTTATGTACGAGTATTTATTACATGCTTTTCTCCTCCCCAAACAAAGTGTGCGCAATAGTTCCATTTCAACAAATGTTACCGCTAATCTGTGCGCCTTCTTTGTTGGTCGGGCAGCGTGAGGTGCTTACAATGAAAACAATGCGATCCAGGTTTTTATATTTCTGTGAGGGTTAAGAGGGGAGAATGTTATTGGTTTGTGACCATTTTGGTTGAAAATAACATTAAATACGTATTAACGTTTGTCCATTAGTATTTATTGTCATCATTAGATGACTGTAATTATCACACTATCATTATCGAAATGAATGAATTACTAATGAGTTTTATTTTCATTTGTAATATTTATTATGTTGTGTGAGTGTGTTTTTGGGAATTTGGTAACAAATATGTATGTGGATTTATGTGGTATATTCGTAAACATTTATTCATTCAATCCTTGAACACTACAAGGATCATTTCGTTGGTTTAAACAATTTGACCATACACAGTTTTATATATTGGACTGTGTAGGGAGAACCATCTCTAACGTATGTGTGTTTTAAACGTATGTATGTTTGTATATTTCAAACTAATATATAAAAATAGGGGGCTACAGAATTGTCATAAAAAGGTTAAAGGATTGTGACACAAACGAACTTATTCAATTTACTTAATTCATTAAATAATAAACATACCGATATTTAAGACGTCAATATTTTATTAAATATTTCTTCTAATAAGCCATTAAAGTGTAAACATTTGTTAGAAAAGATTGTCATTGCAAAATAAAACACAAACACACATTTAGCCTCAAGTCGCAAGAAAACTTGTCTCAAAGTGTCATAAAATAATAATAATAATTCTAAATCTCTTTTGTTATACAATTTTTTCACTTGATTTTGTTAAGGACTGAGATCATTTAAATATATTTTTTTAATTACAATAATACAAGTAATTTTGTTAAATATTTTGGCTCGGAGCTTTCTTATTAAAGTCGAAAGTCTTAGATTTATTTAAAGTCAAACTAATTTCATTTCATTTGAGTTACTCACTCCCCAAACTTATTAACACCTATTTTATATTAGAATTATTTCAAGACTGTGATTAAATTAATTTTATTTGTTTTATATATAATCCTTCCTCAGACTTATTTAGTTCATCTCATTCCTTAATTTTTTGCTTAAGGCGCGTATGACAGCCACTGATGGTTGTCAACAACATTGACAACAATCAGCTACTGCTGTAGACATTTATTTTTCTCCCTTTCTCTTCTCCATTTTTCCTTTTGTTTTATTATGCAATTGTACAAATGTCTGCAAGTGTGTCGGAAAATGTTAAAGAAATTAACATGATTTTATTGACTTGTACAGGCACTTGAAAAAAAAAATAATACTTCTTCTCTACAACAACCCATTATGTTCCAGAAGTTTGACAGCCATTTGTTCGGCAACATTCTATCTTAACAATCAAAACACACTACAACTTAACAACGTTTATACACACACTAATTTACACGTACGTTTTTCCATACCACACTCTTTCACACATTAGAAAATATTTGGGCTTTTCTACTTATTTGAATGTTGTTAGTATGTGTTTGTGTACTTTACACAATCAAGCACTTGAGCGACAAGTAGAAGGCGTTGTTCTTTTTTTTTCTTATTATGGCGTTTGTAACTGCTACTTAGTTGTTGTTTCTATTGCTGCTGTTGTTATTATTTTTGCTGTTAATGGTGTCTCTTATCACCAACAACAACATAATAGTTGTTACAACATCACAAACAATAGCAGTCTGTAGTAGAAGCTATGTTCATGACTTGGAATACAAAATGATTCGATTTATTTAAATGTTTATTTTTGTTGCTGTTGTTTTAGTTTACTTTTTGTTTCTGTATGTGAGTTTGAAAGAAGAATAATGAAAAAAATCTGCTTAGAAATGCACATAATTTGCACATTTTGTTGGTTATTTAATTTTTATGATTAAGGTGACCAAAACGCTTTGATTTAAATTAATGGAAAAGAAAAATAGATTTATTATTTCGATTAGAGGAAACTTAAGAAATAATAGGATCTTTTGAGCAGCTCAACTGTAGGCTAGACTATAGACTAGACTATAGACTAGACTATAGACTAGACTATAGACTAGACTATAGACTAGACTATAGACTAGACTATAGACTAGGATATTCACTAGACTATAGGAGTAGACTAGACTATAGACTAGACTATAGACTAGACTATAGACTAGGATATACACTAGACTATAGGGTAGACTAGACTATAGACTAGACTATAGACTAGACTATAGACTAGACTATAGACTAGACTATAGACTAGACTATAGACTAGACTATAGACTAGACTATAGACTAGACTATAGACTAGACTATAGACTAGACTATAGACTAGACTATAGACTAGACTATAGACTAGACTATAGACTAGACTATAGACTAGACTATAGACTAGACTATAGACTAGACTATAGACTAGACTATAGACTAGACTATAGACTAGACTATAGACTAGACTATAGACTAGACTATAGACTAGACTATAGACTAGACTATAGACTAGACTATAGACTAGACTATAGACTAGACTATAGACTAGACTATAGATTAGCATAGACTAGACTATAGACTAGACTATAGACTAGACTATAGACTAGACTATAGACTAGACTATAGACTAGACTAGACTAGACTATAGACTAGACTATAGACTAGACTATAGACTAGACTATAGACTAGACTATAGACTAGACTATAGACTAGACTATAGACTAGACTATAGACTAGACTATAGACTAGACTATAGACTAGACTATAGACTAGACTATAGACTAGACTATAGACTAGACTATAGACTAGACTATAGACAAGAGTTTTTCCATAGGCTTACTTACCATGGTCACCTTAAATAATAACCATTTAAATGACAATATATCACTAAGTATGAGAATGGATATTCTTTCAGTGACTGTGAGTTTGTTGGTGTCCCCGAACGCATGAGTATGATGACTATAATGACCTTTTTGTTTTTGCAATCTTCAACAACAAT